GGTTATCATCATCAACAAAAACTCCTCGCTAACGACCATCAAGCTAACATCCCATACGAAGCACAATTCACTCCTCTATGCACATCTTCCTCGGCTTGGCGGGAATCTCCCACTCCACCTGCTCCATGATCGCATAAGCCTCAAACGGCACACCTTTAGGCCGACTTTTCAGCTTCTTCTTCTTCTGTGTGGCCTTGTCAAAGACCTCCTCTTCAATCCAGAGCTCCGGGGTGAAATCTTGTACGCTCGCCCAGCCGCGAATGAGAGCTCGCCAGTAGCATGCCTCTGCGGCTGGAGTGAGGTACCTTTCCCGAAACATACTTCGCGCATTGTCGGCGATGCGCTTGCCTTGCTCCGAGTGCTCCGGATCGAGCAAGGTGGCCATTTTTCTGGGTAGATCGGAGTAGTCGCGTTTCGTTTTGATGTAATTCTGCTCTGGTCCGGTGGATTGCAGTAAGTGGTGATAGGGTTCAATCCAATCCATTTCGTGGGAGAAGAGGACCGAGTGGCAATTGAGGAGATATTTCAATCGACCACTGTAAGTGTTGCCTTCCGTTTGCGCCAGAAACATGTACGAGCAATGTTCCGGCATGGTAAGTAATCTCTCCTGGATGTTGGTCTTATTCGACCAGTCCAATTCTTGCACATCCGCCCACTCTTTCCCTTGCGTGTGCTCCACCAATCCAGCTCGAACATCGTGCGATCCTACAGCTAGAGAGCCGCGCCACACGAGCTTCGGGACTTTATCCTCAAAGTCGTCTTCTTCGTGGTCCAGAATTGCTTGCAGCTCCGCATAAGATCGCAAGCCTACATCCGGCCAGGCGTACATTCCAAAATCAGGCATCAGCCATAGATTCTCCTGATGTGCTTGCCYTGTATATGCCCATGTTGTCTGGTTCCCATCATCATCATCATCACCCAGAGCAGAGTCGTGCACACTAAATGTGAATTCAATGTTTGGCAAGACCCCCGAGTAAGCCGTCACGGCTCTTTGGATGGCGTTCAACGTTGCGACTGTTCTGGGCCTGTGATTGTGATCCGTCACACCATGCGCGTCGATGATATACAGCTGATTCTCATATATCATCGCTCGTACCATCCCGTCGCCTCTCCAACCCACGTCCAAAGCATCCGGTTGGACATTTCCCGCCACGTCTCTGCGGTGCTTCACCGCTCTGTCGATTTCTCGGAATAGTCCTGGGAAGGCCACTTTGCACTGCTCTTCGGAAAGGCCATAGTTTCGACCATCTCGCTTGTGCTTGAACAGCCAGCCAGCATCCGAAGCGGGAAATTGTGGATGAGGATGCTTCTCGTCGTGGTGCTTCGGGGGAAGAAAGGCGTCGTGATTAGGCAGAAGAGCATCAGGTAGATCAGCAGTCCCTCGCGTCGCAAAGAGGATGAAAGTGCCGCATATCAGCAGCAAAAGCGTGCCGCATAGCGGTAGTGTCCTCCGCATCGTCATGGAGAATCATCCAGGCCAGACCTATGCTTCTTCTGGTGGGAGATGATGATAGGAGATTGGAAGACATGTTCTTTTTTCCTCTAAAGAAAGGTTGAAACCGCGCGGCAGCCTTAATACTACAACAAGGTTTTTTTCTATCGCGTACGGTGCGCTTTTAGCGACAACTCTGCAACAATCTTTTTTTAGTAGAACTAAGGTATACTACTTACGCTACYTCGGAATATAACCGTTCCGAGAGGTTAGCGGTGATTTTTAGTTATTATACGGGCGCTTCCGATATAGCCTCTTTATCTAATATATAGATATAGTCCTAATTAATAGATTAATTATAGAAGTAAAGTTGTCTAAAGCCTATATCTATAACTATATCTTAGGCACTCTCTTTATATAGTAGATAGATCGAGAAGTAGATATACGCCCGTATAATGCGTTTACGACTATTAAAGTAGTACTATATAGATATCTATTAAAGGAACGAACGAAACTACTAAAAACAACTCCTCTTTAAACTTACGAAGTACCTACTATCTTTATTCTTATCGCAACCTTTTAAATTAACGACGCTTCGACCGATTACGCGTATAATTTACGGGTAGTTTACTCGTATTCTTAAATAATTACAAAATCTTCGAGATCGTCCGCTTATAGCTTAAACCTCCTAGGGTAGGATATTATTACTCTACTTCCTCGGTTCCTAGCTCTCCCTTAATTTCTAGCTCTCCCTTAATCTATAATCGAGTAAGTAGCTATCTTTACGATTATATAGGCTAGAAACGTATAAATATCTTACTAAACGAAGGTAGCGACTCGTCGTTACTATTATCGGTAGCGTTATACTCTATAGTAGTATTAATCTGCTCTTTACTCTTCTATCGAATTTAGTATTAGACTTTATTTACTAACGTTTATACGGAAAGATAATATATATACTTCTAAGGTCGGCTCTACTTTAACTACTAGCTTTAACTCTACTTTAACTTCTTACTTTACCTTCTTCTTCTTCTTCTTCTAAGAGCCCTTACTCTTTAGAGTAGTAGTAGCCTTAGTAAGATTTATATTAACCTCGGCCTCGTATAATAGGTTATCCGTAGGCTACGATATAGAATGTCTCTTAAAGATAAGGAACACCTTATATTGCTTTCGAGATAGCTAGCCCTTTATATTAATATCGTTTAGAAAGATACGACTTAGCTTTCTATCTTTAAAGTCTATATCTATATAAGGGTAAAGATATAGCAATATATTAGACACCCGTAATTACTCGATTAGAGATAAGACTAATTCTTATAGGTTAAATGTACGCTATGCGTAGGAGTTATATATATACTAAGCCTACACTAAGTAGTTAGGTTATATTATACTCCCTTCTCTAAGGTTAGTTAATCTAGCTACCTCTATTAATCCTGTTATTATAAGGGCTCTTATACGGCCCTTATAATTACCTCCTTCCCCTTATACGAACTAGCCTTAGTTCGGGGGCTTAGGAAATAGAGGCGCGCGCGCGTCGTATACGT